ACATCCACCGGAATGGACATCCACCGGAATGGACATCCACCGGAATGGACATCTACCAGAATGGGCATCCATCCAGAAGCCGCAAATGGGCTAGGGAGGGTTCCATCCAGAATCTCAGAAGAGCCCAATTCTGATGACTCCTTGATAATCAGACTTGTGTCCTCTAGCTGTGACACAATGTTTCTGTTGTTCCAAGCCACCCAGATCATTGTATACTGTTCCAGCACTTCAGGAGGTGCAGCAGGGAGACCCAGCACCCCAGACTACAGTGATTGGTCAGAGCACTAAGAGACGCCCAGTGTAAGGTGCCCATGGCCCTTCTCACCTCCCTGGTAGAGTCGGCTTTGAGATGGAGTCCCTGGTTGTGTCCCCAGAATGGGCAGGATGCGCAAAACCCAGGTCCTGGGGCTCCGAGGAGGGAGCGACACCACAGCTGACCGCTCCCGAGGTCCCAGGACAAGCAGAGTGATCCAATCCCTGTAAGCCGTGGCTGTGCTGCGGCCGGCCCCCTCTGACCGCGCCTGGATCTCAAAGCCACTGATCAGGGCGCCGCGCTCCACATCCCAAGTCAGCACTGCTGCATCTCGGGCTCTCTGCAGCTTCCACGAGGAGATGGAAGGGCCTGGAGGGAGAAGGCAACGGGCAGCTGGATGTTGGGGTCTACAAGGGAGAAGGAAGGGGCCTGCAGCCCTGGCCCCCTGGTCTGAGGGAGAAGGGGTTTGGGCTGGTCACCCGGGTTTTAGGGTATGGCCTCAGGGATTTGAAAATCAGGGCTTTGGAAAGGTTGAGACTCACCAATGAGGGTGATCTGGTCACCCCCGGCACCCAGCACCCCACTGCACAGCACGGAGTAATTTCCCAGGTCCCAGTCCAGACTGAAGTTGCCGATGAGGAGTCTGCGTCCATCCCGGCTGAGCCGCAGGCGACCCCCACCTCCTGGAGCCAGGGGCCTGCCTTCCCTAGCCCATGCAGCTCGAGAGGGTGCCGGGCACCCAGAGGCCTGCAGGACCACCTCTGCCTCCCCCGACCGGGTCTCTTCCACCAGCAGATGTAGCAGCACCTCCTGGGGGGCCTCTGTAGAGGACAAAAGCCCACTTAGAAGAATCAAGTCCTTACTCTGAACTCCTATAACGAGTCTTTACCTTTCCCTAAATCAATTAGTGGTGAAGCCCAAACTGTGGCCAAAAGAGGAAGAACTGCCCATTCACTCATTCATTCATTCATCCTCAGCTCATGCGCATGCACGTGCAAGCTCGCGCGCGCGCACGCACACACACACACACACACACACACACACATATACTGAACACACAATAGGCCAGGCACTGTGCTGGCAATCTCATTATTTTTCACTGTTAATTCTTTTAAACGTAAAATAAATAAATAAATAAATAAATAAATAAATAAATAAATAAACTCACGTTTCTTGAATGCTTGGGAAAGTAACGGACTTTCTGAGTCCAGGAATAAAAATCCTGTCCCGGGCCCCTCCCGACTCTCGGTATAGGAAAACCCTGGTTCTTTCTCTAGTTTCCACTTCTTTCCTCGAGTAAGTAAATGCCCACCCAACTCGCAGCCCCATAAATGCCAAAGGACCAAAGAGACAGTCCCCCTGCTCTGGTACAGCAGGGAATGCAGCCCCTCACCCAAGGTGACAGTGCAGGTGCGCGTGGCCACTAGATGGCGAGCGAGGCAGGTGACGGACAAGCCGCTGAGCCGGGGGTGGGCGGGGACGGTCGCCTGCAGCACCGAGGGCGCCGGGCCAGCGCGGACGCCTTTGGGGAGACCCTGGAACTGCAGTAAGGCGGCGGGAACCCCGCCCGGCCACGAGCAGCGGAAGCGGAGGCTGCGGTCCACGAGGCTGTCTTCGACCGAGCACTCTGGGGAGCCTGGGGGCAGATCTGCAATGGGAGGGGACATAGGTACCCCTTGGTCTCGCCTTTCGTCTCTGGCCCTGCCTCTGCCCGCGAGTCCCGCCCTCTCCTCACCTAGCTCCGCCCCGAGGCGCTAATCCCGCTTCTTACTGGCTAACACCGCTCCTGGTCCTCAGTGACTCCCCAGGGGATGCAGCCCGCATCCCCTCCTAACAAAACTGCATCTTATCAGACTCTTCCAATCATAATCCCGCCCTTTCCTTTCCAGATCCACCCCACTGTCAGGCTGCTCGGCTCCTCCTCAATTATTCCGAGCGGACCTGCCCCCTCTACTAGATGGCCCCGCCCCTTTGGCTTGTAGCTCCTACCCCGCGGCTCTGCAACTACTCCCTTTGCAAGTCCCAGTTACTGACCCAGGTAACCAAGTCCCTCTTGCTTATTCCACTCTTGGCCACTTCACTAGGCTACTTCCTTTGTTGAGAAGGCCACGTGCCCAGGCATGTCTGCCCCTCCTGCTGCCTCAACCTCTGCTCTCCACTGGCCACGCCTAGTCCATAGACGGCCCCGCCACCTGGGCTCCTCCCCAGTTGGCCAAGCCACAGATGTTTCGGTCCCGCCCTCGGCCCCACCCAGGAGCACCCCCCCACGGCCCCTCCTCCCCTCAGGACCCGCCCCGCCCCGGAGGTCCGGCCCCAGCGGCGCGCACCAGCCACCGTGAGGTTGACTACGGAGCGGCGGCGGCGGCCGGTGCGCGGGTTCGCAGCGAGGCAGGCGTACGCGCCGGCGTGGCCGGGGCCCACGGCAGGCAGCAGAAGGCGCGGTCCCGCGGGTACTGCGGCCTCGGCGGGGTCCGCCAGGCTCCATGCGATGTCAGCGGGCGGCCGCGAGGCGGCGGTACAGCGCAAGGTCACATTGCTGCCCGCGGTGACAAATTGCGCAGGGGTGGCATCGCGATCCGAAGCCACCGTAATGACGGGAGGGTCGGGGCCGTCTGCGGGTCGAAGGGCCGGCGTCACCCGGGTCTCTTCAGTGGCCAGGGAGCCCCACCCAGCCTCCGGGCGCCCTGCCACTCACAGAAGACGCTGACATCAGCGGAGGCCTCCGCGTGGCCGAAGGGGCTGCGCACGTGGCACGTGTACCGGGCGTGGTCGCTGCGCGCGGGACGCACCAGGCGCAGCTGGTCACCCTCAGCGCGGATCCGGGACGACCCTGCTCCCTCGGCGTCCACAGCTTCCAGGGCGCGTCCTTCCCGGCTCCAGCTCAGCTCACCGCTGCCGGGCCTCCACCCTAAGCAGCGCAGCTGGAGCTCGGCCGCACCCTCCTCTGTCTGGGGGGCATGGGGCTGCACCGACAGCTGGGGTAGCGGCTCTGGAGGGAGAATGCGATCAGGAGCCGCCAGAGAGCCGGCTCCCAGTCCCTCCTCTATAGCAGGGACCTCGGGTCCCAGCCGGCCGCTGCCTCCTCTTTACCCCACAAGTCTGGGCCGCATCATTCGGTGCCCCCGAGTCTGTGCTGTCAGAGCCCTCTCCTTACGAACCAGGGGCCCAGTTCCAGCCCTCTCCCTCAGACCCAGGGGTCCAGGTGGACCTCAGACTTCTCCCTCCCACCACAAGATCAGATCCCTCTTCCACTGTTCTTCCTATCTCAGGTTTCTCTGGTCCTCGCATCCAGGACCCCCTTCCTGTAGGGAGACAGCGTCTACAGAACATTCTCCAAAAGTACTGAAGCAGCCGGCGCTGTGGTCCACTTACCGTAAACGCCCACCATGAACTCCTGAGTTTGCCGAGAGACACCACCCCGGATTACCTCAACAGTGTAGACCCCAGCATCATCCAGCTGGGCAAAGGCAAGTTCCAGACCCCCTCGGGCCTGGTTGAAGTGCAGGCGGTCACGGTGAGCAGGGTCCAGGCTAATGAGGGGAGCCCCTGGCCCCAGGCCACCAGCTGCCAGCACCTTGGAGCCCCGGCGCCAGACCACCAGAGGGACAGGGGGACCCGGGCCAGGGACGGGATCCAGGGGCAGCCGTATGGTGGTCCCCACCAGTACAGCCAGGGGACCCCCAACCTGATGGGGGAAGCTTGCAGCTGGGTGGGTCTCCAAGGAAACTTTAGGATTCTCCGAAGGGTATTTAGGATCAGGATCTTTAGAGGGGAGCTTTGACCCAGGGTCCTCAGCAGATACATTGGTATCCAGGATTTGAGCAGAAGTGTTCGAAGCTGGGGTTTTAACTGAGGAGGCAGATGCAGGGTTCTTCGCAGGAACTTGAGGACCCAAGATGTCAGAAAATGCTTCAGAACCAGGAATGTCAGAGAAGGTGGGATCTGAGTTCAGATGCAGGCGGTCAGCAGAAAAGTTTGACCAGAGTGACCCAGGCACATCCCTCGAAATCAGGGCCTCAGGAAACCAGTCAGAATCAGGGATTTCAGCTGAGGCTGGTGGCCCTGGAGACTGATGGCTGGGGGGATTAGTGGGGGAAACTTTTGAAGTCTGGCCCAGAGAAGAGGAGCTGATGGAGCCCGAGGAGGAGGCAGAGGTGAAAGTGGTTTGCTGAAGTCCAGGAGTGGCCAGGACACCTACTCAGAAGACAGGAGAGGAAGGAATGGGAGGGCAAGGCACTGGGAAGGCTGCTGGGGAGGGGGCTGGTGGGAGCGGGTTGGGCAGGGAACTTACCCAGGAGCAAGAAGAGCGGCAGAGCCCACAACGTGTCCATGGTGCTGGCTGTACCCGAGAGGACACTGGAGAGACCCAGGACCTGCACCAATCCCTCCCGGGCAGGACAAGTCGGACAGGACTGGTGGCTTAGCTTCCTGGGCGGGGAAGGTAGCCAGACCAGTGGGAGGTGCTGGGGTCCCCCAACCCCACCTGGTGACTGAGCCGCCCCCCCCTTCTCTTCCCCAGCCGGATCTGCATTCCTCACCCCCAGGGGGAGATGGGGAGCACTAGGTACCAGCTAGGAATGCGGTAGCCAATCTTGGGACAAGAGCTAGAAAGACTTCCTGGAGGAGGATGAGACCGACTTTGGAAAGCTCCACTGCGGATGGTTTCCTCCTCCTTTGTCTCTGATCTGCCCCATGTGCCTGCAACTCAGATGTCTGAGTCTGACCTCGCTCCTCCTCTGTTCCAAACCTACTGTCCCCAGCCCCAATCTCAAGTTGCTGTCTTCCACACAGCCATCTCTCCTGCCACCCAGAGCTGCGTTCTACATCCCTAGACCCACGCGAGCTCTGCCCCTCTGCTCTGCAGCCCTCCAACCCAGCAGCCCAGCTTCTCTGCGGTTCAGCCTTCTCTGCGGGTACAGGGTGCTCTCCGACCTCCTCCCCATCTCTCCTGCCTCCTGAGTCTCTCACCTTGCTTCCCACTGCCCAGGCTGCAGATGTCCCACGAGTCTACCTGCAGGTCTGTCTGCCTCCAAGCTGACCGTGCCCTCTGCAGCGCCCCCTGGAGGTGTCCCAGCTCCTCAGTGGGCCCCACCACTCCTTCCTCCTGGCTCCCGCACCTCCCTAAGGTGCCAGTTCCTGGGCCATCTCAGCTCGCTGCCTTCCCGCGCGCTGCTTCTCTCCTGTCCTGCTGTCTCTCATTACCCACCCCCACCTGTCATAACTTGTCCTGCAGGTCTAACCTTATTAAGAACAATAACAATAATTACCGCTTACGTTGTTCCAGGAACCACGCTAAATTCTTCCCATGCTTTGTGGGGCTAAGCCCTCTCGGATGTCCTCTGAGCTCGGGCAGTGCCATCCTCACTTTACAGACCAGTGACTGTTGCTCCGAGAGGTCAAGCGACCTGCAGGATATTGCACAGCCAGAGGGAAAAACTGGTTGAAACCCAGGCTGGTCACAAAGCTCGCTGCCTCCACAGTCGGTCCTACAACCTGCGTTAGGCACAGGGGTTCAGCTCCCAGCTGCGAACGGTCCTCACCATGCTGATAAGGGTCATCTGAGGTGTGAGTGACATACATGATAAATGTTTATTACAGTGGCCACAGAGCCACCACTCGCCCTCAAAGTCCTCCCCCTCACTTCAAACACACTTATCCCACCGTTCCTGCCACTTTTACACACAGGTCTGTAAGTCTTGTTTCCTGAGGGTCTTTATGAGGTATGATCAAAATCACGGCGAGTGCTGCTGCTGTCCTCCAACTGACACCCAGGCTCAAGGACACATGGTGTGTCCTCACCCTCCCGATCTGGCGCCAGGCGATTTGTGGCTCTTTGCCATAATCAAAATAATTATGAGTGTAATCCCAGCACTCCGGAAGCTGAGGCAGGAGGATTGCTGTGAGTCTGAGACCAGCCTGGGCTACAAAGTGAGCTCAAAGCCAGCCTGAGCTGCAGAGGCCTTGTCTCAAAAAGTCAAAATAGGGCTGGGGAGATAGCGAGGCAGTCTAATCGCCTGCCTGGCAAGGGCAAGGGCAAGGACCTGGGTTTGATCCCTGGTACCACACGCTGTGCCAGTCCCAGAATCCTGGGCGCACCATGCTGGCCAATAAAACCAGGCCTGGTGGCCCAACCCTGTGATCCCAGTGCTGGGGAAGCTGAGACAGGAGGATCACTATGAGTCTGAGTTGCGTAGTGACACCCTGTACCAAATCAATAATTATTTAAAAAGTCAAACTAGTAATGGTTATGAAAGGTAAACATTTTGAACAGATGCTGGACTTCCAAGTAGCCATGACAGGAAAATGAAATGACACTAAAAAGGACTTCCAGAGGGCCGGCCAGATAGCTCAGCGGATTAAAGTGTCTGCTTAGGCACACTTGGTTGGATCCCTGGCACTTGGGAGGCTGAAAACAGGAGGATCACTACTAGTTCAATTTGTGTAGTGAGACCCTGTACTAAATACATTTTAAAAAAATTTTTTTAAAAAGACCTCCAGGGGCCGGGGAGATGGCTCAGTAGAATAAGTGCTTCCCTGGCAAGCACAAGGGCCTGAGTTCAATCCTCGGTTCTGCAAAAAAGAAAAAAAAGACCTCCAGGATTGCTTCAATTTTTTTTTTTTTTTTTTTTTTTTTTTTTTTTTTTTTGTGTTTTAGGGGTCTGCAGAGTGTTCAGGGTCTCACTACTAGATTGCACTCCTAGTGTTCCGCCTATTTACAGCCTCCTGAGAGCTAGGATTACAGGCATGGGCTACCATACCCAGTCTCAATCACTGTCCAAATGCACCCTGGGGGCGGGCCGGCACAGCAGGCCTAGGGATCAAACCTCAGGCCCCTGCGCTGGTTTGCAGGTGCTTTAATCTCCTGAGCTATTTGGCCGGCCCTCAGGCCTGCTTCAGAAAGCAGCAAGAACCAGGGGCTGAGTGTACTTGAAATTAAGGGGAGCATTTTGAGGGTGACTCATGCCAGTATGTCTTCTACTGTGATAAATTTTGTTGAGCACTCAGTGTTTTGACCACACCTCATATGTGCTGAACACGTGTCTGTGTCAGGTATGGTTGTAGAAGTGCTGCACAAATTAACCTCTCAAAACCCACCAGGGTAGGCTTTGGGGCCTCGGGAAGGCTAGACGCCCCTCTCATTAAGGGGGGGCCGGTGCTCCTTCTCCTCAGTCTGAGTAGGCTCTGACTGCTAGCCCAAGAGGGAGGTGAACCCGGGCCACTTCCGACTGCTGGCCGGTGTTACGTCACTTCCTGTGTCATAGACTCCTCCCTCTGGACCCCAACTGCCATGCTGGGGCCTCCCAAGCAGCTCACAGAGAGAAGTCATGGCCCCTGACCCCCAATTGCCCTGGCTGTGTCCTCCAGCGAGTGTTCAGTTGGAATGAAGAATCCTAGCCAGCTTTCCAGCCATGGCAATGGAGCCTGTGGCCCCCTTTGAGTCACCCCAACTGTTGCACGGAGGGGACACGCTTGTGCCTGCTCCTGCTCAGAATTATGAGCCAAAAGTTAACCTATCAAATTTTGGAGTGCTTTGTTATACTGCAAAAGCTAACCAGGCGAGGTTGTTAGCTCAGCACTCAGGAGGCTGAAGCAGGAGGATTGCTGTGAGTTCAAGGCCCACCTGGGTTACTACATCTTTAGTTCAAAAACGGCCGGAACTGCACCAAAAGACCATATGATGGGGCCGGGGAGATGGCTTACTGGAATAAGCGCTTCCCTGGCAAGTGCAAGGGCCTGAGTTCAATCCCTGGTTCCGCAAAAAAAAAAAAAAAAAAAAAGACCAGGTCTCAAAAAAAGAAAACCAACACATAGACATTCCTTTTTTTAAAAAAGTAGTAAGCTGGGCTGGTGAGATGGCACAGTGGTCTAAAGCACCTACTTAGAACAAACTAAGCCAAGCAAAGCACAGGGACCGCAGTTCGATCCCCCAGCACCACATCCAGCCAGCCCCGCCCCTGGTGGGCTGAGCTGGCCACACACACACTAAATAAATAAATAAATAAAATTAAAAAAAAAAGAAGTAGTAAGGCTTGGGCTGGGCAGATAGCTCAGCAGTCTGTGCCTGCCTGGCAAGTGCAAGGACCTGGGTTTGATCCTCGGTACGGCATGCTGTGCCAGCCCTGGAACCCGGATGCCCTGTGCTGGCCACTGAAGCCAGGCGTGGTGGTGCACATCTCTGGGGAGGCTGAGATAGGAGCATCGCTATGAGTGGCTACATAGTGAGACCCTGAACCAAATAAATGAAAGATTTTTTTTAATGTATAGTTCAAGATCTACAGGGTCTCCCTACACAGATCAGACTCATAGTGATCCTGTTTTCAGCCTCCCAAGCGCTGAATTTATAGGCGCGTCTCACGACACCCAGTCTCAATCGCCATCTCAGTGCGCCTCGGGGGCGGGGCTGGCACAGCAGGCCCCGGATGGAACCCTGGTCCCTGCAGCTGCATAAGCAGGCGCTTTTACCCGCTAAGATATCTGGCCAGCTCTTTAAAAGATTTTTAAAAAAAAATAAAGCACTAAGCCTTGAACAATGAGCTACATTGGCAATGAGCTCCATCCCCAGCCTTTCAGAGTTTTTCTAAACCCTTGCTAAGTCACCACGCTGCCCAGGCTGCGCTTACCCTTGTCACCCTTCTGCCTCACTTCCCACCTCACACTGCAGATTCTGTGATGCAAGGTGAGCCTGGCTGCCTAACTCAGGTGACTGGAACCCTGGGCCTCACAACCAGAACCCAGGGCACTATGGTGGCGGGGGGGAGGGCAGGCAGCCGAGGAACTGAGCCTCAGGGACAGATGCAACTCACCCCGGGCCTCGCAGCTGGTGAAGGCAAACGTGAAGATGGATTTGCAATCAGTGAACCCAACTGCAGTGCTGGGCTCTGTGCCCGACCCAAGGTTTACAATGTCTGTCACCAGCTGCTCTGGCCAGGTTCCTTCTTGGGTCCCGAGCCTTAGCACGGACCCAGTGCCCAGGATCCAGAACCCTGGGGTGCCTCCTGGGCCCCCCTGGGCAGGCCAGGTGCCCCACTCATGTCCCCATGTACCTCTATGCCCAGCCTACCATCCTGTTCCATGCCTGTTCTCGCGGGCGTCTGTCCCCTCAGTGCAGCGAGAGGGACCTGACTCACCCGGATTCCCAGCCTCACCCAGCACAGGACCAGCACAATGGGATTTAAGGAAATGTTTGTCAAGTGAATCAAAGACAGGACCTCCAAGGAATGCGGCAGTGCACACAGACCTTAAGAGTCAGAGCTTTATTGCTGCGTTTCATGGAGGGCACTCAAATCCGCCCTACTTCCTTCAGCTTGGCCACCAGGTCCTCAGTGGTCTCCACCTTGACACCAGCCACGCGCTGCGGTGGGTCCTCCATGCTGACCACGGTGAGCCTGGAGCTCATGTCCACGCCCAGGTCGCTGGCCTTGATCACCTCAATCTTCTTCTTCTTGGCTTTCTGTGTGTAAGGAGCCAGGTTCACAAGGCTGCCGAAGTCCTGCCCAGCCCCCAAAACCTTCCCATGGTGCCACAGTACAAGACCATCCCCTGGCCCCCAGAATGGCCAGGACACGTGCTACCTGTCATAGGGCCAACCAAGGACGGCCCAGGAGGCTCCACTACACCAGCAGCCCTTCTTGAGTAACCCCCACACTGGCCATCAGGGACTAACAGACCCATCCTCTAGGCAGTCTTGACTCCATGGACTGGGACACTTGCTATTGGTTATAGATCTACTGAGTGCTCATTGGCTGGGATGATACACTGAATGTTTTTATTGGCTGAAATGACTCACCAAATTCTCTATATGGTCCAAGGTGACCCAGACAACTCTTCCTGTTGGCAAGACCCCCATGAGCCCTTCCTTGTTAGCCAAGATGGCCTTCATCCCAGCATCCCATTGGCAAACACTACCAAGGGAATCTTCTTTGAAGCAAGACCACTGAACGTGTCTCTTAGGCCACAAATGCCCAGTGAACCTTGCCAAAATTGGCACGCAGAACCCCTCTGCTGCTCGGTATAGCTTTCTGTTGGCTGAATCCAAGACTACTGGCTTGACCAGCCAAGAGTCTATTAACATGGACTCTTAACTCATGCACCTTCTGCTGGCCCAAGTGACCAGCTGACTGCTTCCTTTGATGACATATCCCTTGTCCACTGCTGCCCTACCACCTGACCACTGCCGCGGCACAGGCAGCAGTGTGCCTACCCACCCTCAGGCCCACCGTGCTCACCATGATGTTGGGCAAGGTGGCGTAGCGGGGCTCATTGAGCCTCAGGTCTGCGGTCACTACGGCTGGCAGCTTCAGGCGGAGGGTCTCCAAGCCCCCATCAATCTCCCGCTCCACTTTCAGCTTGTCCCCCTCCAGTGTCACCTGGGAGGCGAACGTGCCCTGGGGAGGGACAGCGCAGGAGGAGAGCGGGCCAAGTTAATTCAGGTCAGGCACAGAGCAGTCCTCGGACGCCGCAGCCAGGCAAAGCCAAGCGAACAGATGCACAAGAAAAGGACGGAGGCCTGCAAGATGCAAAATGGGCGGGCAGCCACAGAAGGGGTCTCGGTCCTCTGAGGAGGGCGCCTTCCTCTCCCTGAGCGGCCCCGTAGGTCCCCTCCTCCATAAGAGTGGTGAGTGAATGTGTATTGAGAGCTGAGTCCTGTTTGAAGTAACCACTTTCCCTAAAATAAGACCTAACTGGGCCTACCTAACCAGAACCAGGCCTAGCAGCTCATTAGCATAGTGATGGCCAGTGCCGGCAGGCAGGGAGATTATACTCACTGCTCTCTTCCTGGGGCTACTCTGGGAGGACAGGCGAGGCAAGGATAAACTGAGCCGGGCTGGCAACTTCCCGCTTAGGTCTCATTGTAGGAGAAAGGCAGAATGCATGTTATGGTTTGTGTCTAGTTGTCCCCCCAAAGCCTCATGCAGTCATGGGGTGAGGACTTCTAGAGTTTGTGTTAACTCATGGTCCACTGGGATTATGTGTGATCCAAGGCTGGGATTATGGGTCTTAGTACTGCTGGGATTACCCATAGGTGGGTAAATACTGGGAAGTACCCATAGGTGTGAGT